ATATATATATATGTGTGTGTGTGTACACAGACACAGACACAGACACAGACACAGACATATATATATATATATATATGTTTATATGTATATATGAATATATATGAATATATATATATATATATATTGTAGCATTTGAGTATGTAGCTTTAATTGCTCGTGTAATCCGGAAGATAGATATACTTACACACACAAACACACACACACACACACACACATATATATATATAATATGGAGTATATATCGTTAATTGCACGTTTATTGTAGATGTAAATAATGTGCATCATTTGAGGACCTATCTTCAATTGAGTACCTATCTTCAATTGCTCGTGCAATCGTCGATGTACATTAATAGTGTAGTGTATTTAAACCCCGGTGTTGAAGTATACGAGTCCAGATCGTGATCGATATATATTCAATTCAAAAACAAATCCAAACACAAACCTCACTGCTATTTTCACCAATTGTTTGTAGCGTAGCAGGACAGTGTGCGCGCGATCGACTGCGTTGCAAAACATAAGCTACACCTCACACTCTGAGAATCATTGACGGTTCCTTTCAAGAAAACAAACGCCTTCCTCTTAAAGATATGAGCAGCAGTAATAGAAAACACCGACTGGGAAGTGTTGTTACGACTGAGAAAAGGACGATGACGTGTTCAATCGGTCTCATTCACATACAAATAACAAACAAAGTATACATGTATATACATAAACATAAAAAATAATGGATTTATGTGTATGCATAAATACAAATAAAATAAGCAAATAAAATGAAGGATGTATGTATATGCATTCGCACCACACGGAAGGACTACAACACCAGTCATATAGAAGCAAACGGATATAATTTCCCCTAGTCCGTTTACGACTAGCTATAGCCTTACCTTTGATCAACAAGTACGGCCCTACCACGTGACAAGCCGTCGTCTTCTCTAGTCTACCACCACTCACCATTTCTCTCTCATAGGGTAAGGCTCCCGCATTATTGACTAAACAGTGTATCGCCTTATCCTTTGGGAAGTCGGCTACGAACTTACACACAGCACTCATATCCGACATATCTAACGAGTGACAGGATAGATTTCCCGATTTTTTACCCTCAGCCTTAGCTTGAGTCTCGGCTTCTGCTTTCACCTTCTGTAATTTATCCATTGTTCGACTGATCAGATGTACATCCGCACCTGGGACAATACGAGAAAAGGGAAATGATAGAGCAATTAGACCGTGCACACGTTGAAGGTTTTTCGATGCCGCAAATTGAATGTCCGTACATTAGCAAAAGCATGTAGATACAATCTTGTGCTCGAATAGTTTTCCCGAATGAGAAAATAAAGTTACATAATTTTTCTTTCACAGGGCTTGAGTTTACCAGAGTAACGTGCTAGACGCATCAGGGCAAGTGGTGCGGGAAACAAATAAGCATAGAGATAACTCATTAATCAACAGTATAGACAACTGCATACCACACACAGACCAGCAATAACACAGCAAACCAACCAGAAACCATAGTCAATTCACAAACCAAAAGCACATCTGATATCTACACACAGAAAACAAAAAAAAGGAATCAGTTACATGGTCCCAGTTAAGAGTTAGCTTTGCCTCAGAATTGAATTTAGTACGCTGAAGGCAGCTGTGAAGGCAGCTGTTGTACACAGGAGAACATTTCGCAAGATAAATAATCCTCATACATACCACGTTTAGTAAGTTCTATTACTAACATCTTTCCGAGACCAGAAGAAGCCCCTGTGACGAGAAAGACCTTCCCAGTGAGGTCGACATGATCAGGAATAGTTGGACCTTTGTATGCCGAGGTGAAGGATCTCGCCTTAAACAGCTGACCGAAGACCACACCACCGATACTATATCCACTACCCATTCTTGCTTACTGTATAATATATACTCCCAGGTTATAAATGCCTACGACTGTGCCTGGATGTCAACTATTTGTAGTGCCTGTGCAGGCCCGCAGGGTCATACGTATATACAAACATTGCTGGATAGCGCTGGAACACTATATTTTTTTAAGTACATTGATACGCTACCATGAGTCGAATACGTACATATCTGATATCATTGTTTAAAAAATAAAAGAAAGCAAAACTAAAAAAATAAAAAGAGTCTTGAAATGTCGAAATGATGACCCAAATAACCCGATGTCCCATCATTTTTATATTCTGTTGTTTTCCACCAATCAAAACAATAGTTTTCACTACTATCAAAAAGGATCTGCTCCCAAATATTTACACGGGCTGGAGTGAACGCTTGAACGGCTGAACCTCCTCAGGCCCAGGGCCGTTTCAACTTTCAAAGGCCAAACTGCCAAAGCACCGAGCAGACGCAGTGAAAAGCACAAAACAGTGAAAGGCAATAGTTAAATTCGCGAAAGCACAGATAGCGCACAGCCATATCCTACACAGGCTAAACCAAGAAGAAGAAAACTTTTTAGTCAAAAGTCACAAACCCTATAAACCTTAATCACGATTCGTCACTCTTCAGTCCTCACACCAGACTCGAGAGTGAGAGAGAGAGGGAAAGGGAATATCCGATATTTACATATATACGAACTATGAATGAATATCGGCGTTTATAAACACTCTTCCCCTCTCTAAATTATTTACAGACACATAATGTGTGCATACTGTCTGTACATAGTAGCATTTTGTAGTTCCGTAATATGGACGAAGGAAATATCAAATTTTAATGTGGGAATCCCTGCGCAATGCACAACCCTAGTTTATTTTTGAAAGAGTCAACAACCGTGTTTCTGTATCTTCTATATATGCATGTCTCTTATACATATAGTACTCGGCGCCATGGCACGCACACATGGTTTGTATTCCCGAACACTTACAACAAAGTTTCAAGCACAATACAGACAAATCGAGAACGGGCATGTTCA